CAACCCCAGGGCTCAGAGCCCCCACGCCAACCACTGCTCTACTCCCCCTGGTTCCTTCCCGAAAGTCAGATACATGCAAGCTCAGGGCCCCTCCCTGAAGCGGACGGGCACTGGGAGAGGGTGCTGGCCGCACACTGGAGACCCTCAGGGAACCTCCCCCACCACGGACTCGGCAACACCCACGCAGCACAGGGGCCAGGCCCTGGAAGAGCCCACTGAACTGGCCGTTCCACCCCGTGGGCCATGGGCAGCACGGGGTCTGGAAGGAGGACTCGCCCACAGAGGCCAAGAATGAAGCGGAAGAGGAGCTGTGGGTGGCCCCCCCTAGTTATGGAAGACCTGAGTCCTCTGGAGGGAGGGAACCTCACAAGAGAGCTGGGCCCTCGGCCCAGGACAGCGCCCCCAGCCATCCCAGCACTCCATGTGGGGGGAAAGTTGGCGGAGGGGGAGGTGGGAGCAGGGGGGTGTCCCCATGGAAGGAGAGGTAGGGGGCAGGTGGGCCACTTCAGATGTGGGCATCACCAGCCCTGGACAGCGCCTAGAGCCCCAGGATGGCTGGAGGAGAGGCCGGGATCCTGAGGTGGGCAGGGGTGCGGTGTCTGCCCGGAGGACCAAAGGGAGAGTGGAAGATAGAGGACTCTCACCTGCATGCTCACCACGCCCTCGAACTTGGGAGGGTTTGGTGTAAGAAACCACGGGAATGGATGAAGAGCTGGTGGGGAAGCAGGACAGAACAATGGTCTCTAACAGCGGGAACTGAACATGGCTGTGTGCAGCTGGAGCAAAACTGGAGGTGTGGGGAGGTGGGGGATGAGGAGGGGGGAGTCATTTGTGCAGCAAGCCCAGAAGGACCTGGGGCAGAGCCCGGGGACCTGGCCTGGGGGCAGGGTGGAGTGGGCAAGTGCACTTGCTGGGAGGAGCCCCAACCTCCCAGTGGGCGGGAAGCAAGGTCCTCTGTGGGCAGGACAGGAAAGGCAAAGTGTGAAGGGTGCACCTTGATCCCCTGCTCTGATGGCCCTCAGCCTCTCACCTGTCTCCACGGACCCTAGGACTCTCTCCCACCAGCAGCCAGAGGGATCCGAGTGTAGCCGTGGGTAAACCCCCCCTCAGTCTCAGCCTCCGGCCCAGCCCGGCGGTGGACCCTCAGCCACCAGGATGCCCCCAGCTCACGGGGCAGCCTCCCAGCTCTGGGCCTGGGCACTACTGTTTTCTCCTCCCAGAACCCACGTCCTTCCCTCTTCTAAGTCTGATCGTGTATCACTTTCACAGAAGAAGTAACAAACAGAAAAGATAAACTGGACTTTTATCAAAACTAAAAACTTTTGTGTTTCAAGAAAGTGAAGTCAACCCACAAATGCATAAAATTGTTCGTTCACATTAACATCACGACAAATGGCACTGGCATCTTCGTAACATCGGAAGTGGGAATGACCTGCATGTCCATCCGCCGCTGAATGAACACACAGCGGCCTGCCCACGCCACAGCCTGTGATCAGACACCGACACCACCAAACCCACAGGCACCTCGAAAACAGCACGAGAAGGGAAAGAAGCTGATTATAAAACACCACACAGGCGGCTGCACTCAGATGAAGTGTCCGGAACATTCAAACCTAGAGACACAAGGCAGATCAGTGGTTGCCAAGGGTTACAGGGAAGAAGAAATGGGGAGTGAATACTGACAGAATGAAGTTTCTTCCTGGCGTGATGAAAACATTCTGGGTTATTATTTATGCTCTGTTCATCAACATAACCAAGTTTCTGGACTAGTAATTCTGGAATAAAATAGGTAATTAATGAGGGTGGATGGGTGGGTGAGGCAGACGGAGAAGAAAGAGGGCGTGAGGCAGGGCAAGGTGTTCCTCTTCCGGAAGAAGCCCAGGAGCCCGGTACCGACCACGCCCCCAGAGCGGACAGCTGGCGCCCGCCGCTCCCCGGCCAGTGCTCCCCCTTCCTGCTTGGCTACCTCCCCGCTGGCCCACCCCATTTCCAAGGCAGGAAAGAGAAAAATGTGTTTGTTCAAAAGTCTGTAAAGTAGATGGGTGCTCTTCCCTTCACCACACCCTCCCCTTCACTTTTCTTTTAAAAACCAAGTCCGTGAGCCCTGGCTGGTGCGGCTCAGCAAGTTGGGCATCGTCTCACGAAGCCAAGGGTCACCAGTTGGATTCCCGGTGGGGGCACGTGCGCGGGTTGAGGGTCCGGTCCCTGGTTGGGGTGTGTGTGAGATGGACAGATGTTTCTCCCTCACATTGATGTTTAAAAACATCTCTAAAAACAAATAAATAAATAAATACATGAGAACAAGTCTGCGAAATGGAGATGAGTTAGAGGAAATGACCTCGACAAGGTTCCATGGGCCATCTGTGACAACTCTGAAAAGTGGTTTATTCTGAAGGCGAGACAGCTTACACAGGCTTTTTCCTGGGCTCCATGACGCCCAGCGAGCACCACAAACCCTACGAGACAGGTTCCTGCAAGACCTCAGATGCCATGAGGGCCAGACCACTGTGCACGCAGCCTGACAGCACACCTCTCCGCCGACTCCCGAAAGGAAGATAAAATGCTGGACCCAAACCGATCTTTAAAACTCACAACTTTTACTTCATTCAAATGTTTCCATTTTGGTTACATTGTCCTTTTTCTCTCAATTCCATGATCCACAGATGCTTCCTGCTGCTTCAGGCAGAAGATAAAAATCTTCTAACGCTAAAAACACCTCCATCTCTAAAACTCTCTTAAAATGGGCAGCAAACCGAGGTGTCCCTCGGCCCTGCCCTCGCCACGTGCCCTGCGTGTGCCCAGGACTGCGGCCCATCCTTCCCACAGAACCTCCCACCTGACCGGGAGGGGGGGGGTAGTGGCGGGGAGAGAAGACTACAAGGACAAGGGAGGCTGCAACCTCTGGAGGCCAGGGGCCTGAGGACCCAGCCCTCTCCCCTAAGCACTGAGTTTGGAGTCCAAGAGGGTGAAAACCAAGATTCCCCATGGGCTACGCTGTCTCCGCCAACCCGTCAGTCACAGGTGCTCCTGGGGGCTGCAGGCCTGGGCTGGGGTCCCCTCACGGGCCCCTCCTCCTGCGCAGGGCCTGGATGCCAGAAGCCCTGCTTCCAAGGGAGACTCAAAGAGCCGTCCCTACAGTTCCCTCCTCCTCATCCGCTGCCTGAGCGGGCGTTTCCTCAGGCCTAGGGGAGAGACCTGCCCTCACCACCCTTCATTCCAAGGACCCAGCTCCAGAGCCCACAGTCTGTGGAGCAACCTGCCCCGTGCCTGCCGTGTACTGTTACGGACCCCACGGCCCTCCCCAGGTCCCCCCACGGCACGTCGGTCACGTGCCCACACACCGGCTGGTTTCCTGGGCAATAACTCAGAAACCCAGTGCCCTGGGTCTCTGCATCTGTCCAGGGCCTGACTGCTGTCCGTCCAAGGGGAACAGCATCTCCCAGCCACGGGGGCCGAGCAGGCCACCCCACAGCCTGTGACGCCCAGTGGCCTCTGTGGGCAAGGCACAGCCCTCCGAGGGCAGGCCTGCTCAGGCCGGAGTCAGTGTGGACCCAGGCAGACAAGCTCCTGTCCCTGCAGCACAGACACCAAGACACGGAGGGGCACACAGTGACAAGGCCAGCTCCTCTCTTACACGTACCCCCCAGCCTCTCACGATCCCACGAGGCTGCCGTGGGCACAGGGAGAGGAGGGAGGGAGCCTCCCTAGTCTGCCAGGCAGAGCACCACGCCGCTCCCGACTGCAGAGGCCAGGCGCTCCTCCCTGCCAAGACCAGCGCCTCCCCCCCCTCCGGTCTCTCGCAGCTCTAGGGGCCCCGCCCCCACAGTATCAAAGCAGGCTGCGGGCAGGTGGGGGGTGACCCATCAGCACAACAGACACCCCCGTCCCAGCCATGCCGGCCTGGAGCACGCGTGTGGCAGGCAGGCACGCCATCCTGCTGGCAGCAGGCTGTCCCAGGCACACTCAGTGGCTTTCCTCGGCAGCAGCCTCCACTTCACAGACCCAGACAGCCCTAGGCGGGGAGCGCTGCCCGGCCGGGGCCCACAGTGCGTCCGAGGCCCTCGAACACACGGGCTAAAACCATTTTAGTGTTCTCGGGAGGAAACCACCCGTCCGACTGTCTTCACCCTAAAATGGCGGAGGGTCCCTCCACAGAACCCTCAGTAACAGCCCATCCCCACACAAAATTGCTTCCTTAGGGTCTCTTGGGTTCAGCCTTATTTTAAAAACACCGACAAACCCAAACCCAGGAAAGGGGTCTGAGGTCAAGTCTAAGGGAATGAGCACCACGTCACCAGCCCTGGCCCGAGGGACACACCTCGGAGACTCAGAGGCCGCCCCCCAACCCCCTGCCGGGGGTGCCAGGACCTGCCATGCAGACACCTCCACCCGCCCAGCAAGTCTGAGCTGCAGCCCTGAACACAGAACAGGGAATGTTCGAGGTCTTTTTTTAAAGATTTCATTTATTTCTCTAGAGAGAGGGGAAGGGAGGGAGAAAGAGGGAGAGAAACATCGATGTGCTGTTGCCTCTCACACACCCCTACTGGGGACCCAGCTTACAACCCAGGCATGTGCCCTGAGTGAGAATCGAACCGGCAACTCTTTGGTTCACTGGTCAAACTCAATCTACTGAGCCACACCAGCCAGGGCTGGAAGTCCTTTTTTTTAAAGGAGGGGGCAATACTTTTAAAATAGTGCGCTCACGTTTCATGCAAACAGCAAAACAAAAGCAAAATTTAAGATCACATGAAAGTATACCCTGGCTGGTGTGGCTCAGTGGTTGAGCACCAGCCTGTGAACCGAAGGGTCACTGGTTCAATTCCCAGTCAGGGCAGATGCCTGGGCTATGTGCCAGGTCCCCAGTAGGGGGTGCGTGAGTGTCAACAGCACGTCGATGTTTCTCTTTCTCTTTCTCCCATCTTCTCTAAAAATAGATAAATGTTTTTAACGAATATTCTAAACTGAAAAAACACAACATTTCAAAATTTATAAGGGGCAACCTGATTCAGTTTTCTGGGCTGCCGTGACAGAGCGTCATAAACTGGGTGAATCACGACGACAGAAACTCCCCGTCTCACGGTTCCGGACGCCAGAAGTCCCTCGTCAAGGAGCCGGCCGGGCCCTCGCCTCTCGGCTGCGGGCTCTCCGTGCCACTCCCCGGCTGCAGGCCCGCACTCCCAGCACTCTGAGGAAGACGGACCGCTTTAAACTCCTGTACCAGAAAAGAACTCAAACCAAGATCCTAGGTTTTCGACCTAAGAAACTAGACAAAGGGCAAAGTACACTTTTGGCAAGCAGAAGGAAAAAAAAGATTCGCGTGGAAACAAACAAAACAGTGAAGAGAAACGACAGAGCGGCAGCAAGGTCAAGATGCTTCTCTGAAGTCTCCACTCGACTCAGAGCTTCAGTGGGACCGACAAGAAACAGACAGGGAGGACTGAGGGCCCTCGTCGGGAGCGCCAGGAGTGTCCGGTGCCTCTCTCAGAGCCGCCACAGGCCACAGAGCGCTCGAGGAGCAAGCTGCACGCCAAGATGGAGTGATTCCTAAAAAGACACAAAAAGCCAAAACGACTCAAGAACAGAAAACCTAAACTCCTTCAAAGTAAAGAGATTAAATTAATAACCAAAAACCTTCCACCCCAGCAAAGCCCAGAACCCGATGGCTCCACAAACTCTCCCAGGCCTGTGCAGGGCACACTCAGTCCCCACCCCCCACTCTTCTCCAACAGAGAACACGGGGGGCACTTCCCAACTCCCTCCAAGCAGCTGCTTTACCCGACACCAACTGCACCAAGGCATCACCAAAAAAACCCACAAAACCCTACACTGATACCCCTTATGAATGCAGATGCAAAGCCCTCCACAACCAGCAAACCAAATGCAGCCAGAAGAAGACAAGCCGCGGCATCTGACAAAAGGGATCCACTACGTGAGAGACGGGGTCGATTCAACGTATGAAAATCAATACGATGCACCATGTGCATGAAGGACAAAACCACAGAGCTATGTGACCATCTGAAGAAATGCAAAAAAAAAAAAGATAGCATTTAACAAAATCCAATACCCTCTGATAGAAACACTCAACCAAGTAGGAATGAAGAAACTTCCTCAGCAGGACACAGAGCATGTCAAACACCCAAGGTGAACCCCACGCGCAACGAGAGGCCAAAAACACCCCCTGAAAACAGGAAGGAGACAGGACGGCCTAGCCCACCACAGCTCGCCCACGTGTTCCTGGAGGTTCTGTAGAAGATGTGGAGCAGGGGGCAGCCAGGGAAGGGTCCGGGTTGGAAGGAGCTCCGCTGGGCCCAGTGGCGCGACCTGGCACAGAGGACGGCCACAGAAACTCTGGGAGCGGCAGACGGCCTCAGCAAGGCTGCACGGTACGAGGTCAGTGTGCAAGGATCGATGGCATTTCTATATGCTGCCAACGAACAAGCCAGGGAGGCATTAAGACAACAGTTCCACTACAAAAGCATCAAAAAGAACTGACACTTTTTTTTCAGGTTGCCTTTTTACTATTGAGTTAGAAGATTTCATTACAGATAAAGGTTATAAGTCTTTTTTTTTTAATTTATTTAACTGTTGTTCAAGTACAGTTTTCTTTTACTCCCATCCCAGCCCACGCCCCAAGCGCTCCCCACCTCCCTCCCAGTTCCACACCCCTGGGTTTTTGTCCATGTGTCCTCTATACTCCTTCCTGTGAGAGCTGACACTTTTAACCGAAGCAGCGCAAGCTCAGCAGTACATGCCAACACAGTTGGAGAAACCAGACACGCGTGAAGGAGCACACCCTGCGTTCACGGACGGGAAGACTCAGCATTGAGGTGGCAGCACCCCAAACTGGCTTGCCTTTCTACACAACCCTTACCGAAACCCCAGGGTTTTTTTGCCAACCCTAAAAACCCAATGCTAAAACTCCTAGGAAAATGAAAAGAATCCAAAGGACCTTTAAAAATCTTGAAAAAGAACGAAGCTGGAGGACTCACACCTCCCCAATTTTGTTTCTACTCACTCATGGCTACAATAAATCAAGAAAAGAAGGGACTAGCACAAGACAGACACAGGGAGACCGAGGGAGCAGAGATTGGAGAACTGGAAATAAACGCTCACGTCTGTGGCCCACTGTCGACCAGGGCACTCGCACCCATCGTTCGATGGGGGAAGGAAAGGGGTTTCAGCAGACCTGGGGCTGGGCCTGCGAGACAGCCACACCAACAGAATCAAATGGCCCTCCTACCTCGTACAAAAACTAACTCGAGATAGAGCACAGACCTAAATGTTGTAAAACCCTTAGCAGAAAACAAAGTTTGTAACTGGAATTAAGCATAACACCAAAAGCATAAGCAACCAACGGGAAAAAAACAGAAAAACTGGACTTCATCAAAACTTTTGTGTTTCAAAGAACAGCATCACAAAAAAGTTAGAAAGTGAAAGAACAGTTCACATGATGGGAAAATACCTGCAAATCAGAGACCTAGTAAGAGACTTGAATCTAAAACACAGGCCAACCTTGGAGATACTGTGAGTTCGGCGCCAGGTCCACAATAAAAAGCAAGTGTCGTAATAAATCGAGTCAAAATCTTTTTGCTAATGGAGGGACTTGGGTTCAGTTTGTTTTAAAAAAAAAAAGCCTGTGGAGCACCACAAAGCAAGGCACAATACAATGCAGAGGGCCGGTATATAAAGATATCTTACCATCAGTAACAAAAAGACAATCAAATTGAAAAGGGGCACAGGGCACCGGCTGACTCAGTTGGTTAGAGAACCAGCGTGCTACGCCAAAAGTGCGGTTCAACCCCTGGTCAGGGCACATACAAGAAGCAACCCATGAATGCATGAATGAGTGGAACAATGAGTTGATGTTTCTCTCTCTCTCTTCCTCTCTCTAGAATCAATACATAGAAAAAGAAAATAGGCACAGTATTTGAACTTCTACACAGAAAATACCTGAGTGGCTAACAAGCTTACAAGAAGATGCTCAACTTGCCCTAATTGGTGTGGCTCAGCTCCTTGGCTTTGCTCACAAAGCGAAAGGTCACCAGTGCAGCTCCCAGTCAGGGCACAGACCTGGGATGTGGGTTCGGTCCCTGATGAGGGCGCATTTGAGAGGCAACAGATCAATGGTTCTCTCCCTGTCTCCCTCCCTTCCCCACCCTCTAAAACTAAGCAAAAAGAAAATCTGAAAGAAAAAGAAGATGCTCAACTTCGCTAAGCATCCACACGCCCAGTGAAACCACCACAAGGTGCCCCTTGCCACTCACTAGGACAGAAGCAGCAGAGTCCTGAGGGACAGGTAACAAGCAGCGAGCAGCTGGAACTCCCACACCCTGCCCGTGGGGTGGAGAATCGTGTGGCCACCTGGGGAAACAACTGCATGCAGAGCCATCGCAGCCCGGCAACCCCAGTGCCGGGTGCCTCCCCGCGAGGACCTGAGACAGAGATCCCCAGGTGTCGTCCTGCACCTTGAAAGGTCGTCAGTTCAATTCTCGGTCAGGGCACATACAGGAGGCAACAGATCAATGATTCCTTCCTTCTCCCTCCTTTCCCCTCTCTAAAAATAAGTAAATAAGATATTGGGGGCAAAAAGCACAAGGCCTTACCTGGCCTGCCCGCCTTGCTCTACCTGTGTCCTCCACACCTCCACTGGGCCACGGTGCCTTGCCCTTCTCCAGCCAACAGGTGACTCTGTGCGGGGACTCAACTCTGGCCTTAAAGCTGGGCAAAGAGCTCTGGACCAGCAAACGATGGCAGGGAAGTGCTCAGGGCATGCCCACCCAGGGAGAGAAAGCTCTCCGTGAGCGACTCAGGAAGGGCCCCCTGCACCTCAGTGCCAAGCCAGCTCCTTGCAGTCGTCCTCCGAACCGCCAGGGGCTGGAGTGTCTCCCAAGCTGCTGATGATCCTCGACATGAGGCAGAGCAAACACAGAAGCAATGTTCCGGGAAAGAACACACGTGACAGTCCACGGTTTACACGTGTCCCAGAACCCAGATCTGACCCTGATCTGAAATCCAAGCCAAAGAGTGGCACTTCTGTTGTGCCACCCAAGAGGCCGCCCTCACCCACTGGTGCCCACCCACCAGCGAGAACACGTCAGCACCGGGCAGCCCTCCCGGAGGCAAACTGCGCAGCGATGGCCGCGCAGTCTCAGGACAGGGCCACCGGGCAGCACCTGCTGCTGAACACCACACCCTGCGGAGCAAGACAGGGGCTGAGCTAACAGTGCAGTGTTAGGCTCAGCCCGTCGGCTTTGCTCACAAAGCGAAAGGTCACCCAAGGCGACGCTGCCCCTTCCAGCTGACCAGCCCCCAAAGCTTCAGTGACCACAGACAGGTGCTGCCTGGCCCTGGGCAGTGGGAGAGAGCAAGTGAGCTCCTCCCTCCCTGCTGGGTTCCAACACTGAGGACCCACCAGCCTCCCCTGTATTTCTGGGGAAGAAGCCCCTCACTGCAGCCCCCACCTAAACCCTGAGGATCTCAAGAACACTAGGCCTCTGCCCAGCAAATATGCTATTCGCTCAGGCCCTCCGAAATAGCACCTCAGCAAGGTCCTTGCTCAGCAAAGCCTCACCCAGCACCTGGCACCTCTGGACAGTGTGGCAGTGTGCACGGTCCCCACCCTTCCCGACGCCCGCCGTGCTGCTCCATCCACCCTGAGGTGCCAGTGCAGACAGGGGTGCCACACGGACCCGCACACCTCGGCCCCAGAGAGATCAACTGGGAAGGGGAGGCTGCCCCAAACCCCACTCAGTGCTCAGTGATGACTGATGAAACCAAGACCGGACTGCATTCCTGGGGGGAGTCAGCGCACAGAGCAGTACACAGCACACGGCAGTGGGAGGGCCGCAGCATGGCCGTCACCACAAACAGCGTTTCTGACCAGGCCTCTGCAAATGCCCAGGGTCACCACTGCCCTCACTCTGCCCCCCAAGACAACACAAGCCAGGCAGGCGGGAGTGCCCACTGCCTGAGCGGGTTCCCTGAGCTCAGGCACTCAGCAGAGGGAGAAGGACCCTAAGGGGAGACAAGGGGCCCACCTGTTTCCGTTAGGCAAAGTGACCTGCAACAACAGCCCCTGGAAACGCAGCCTGCGGGACCAGCCTGCCCAGGTCCCGCAGTGCCTCCGTCACAGAACCAGGCACTGCTGCGCAGGATGGTCCCACAGCTCACAGCAGAAAGGGCCAAAGGCAGAGACAAAGATCAGACAAAACCCAGGCAGCAGGGGTTCCTTGCTCCCTGGTGAGCAGAGCAGAGGCCAGCAGCCCCCCTGGGGGGGTGCCCACCCCAGAGCGGGCCAGGGGAGCAGACTCAGGAGCTCCCCCGGTTTGCTGCTGTGGACCAGGAGGAAGGTTCTGAGCAGGTTTTACTTGCTCGCTGTGCTGCCGTGCAAACTTCGGAACCCCTGGCTAACGCCACTGGCCGGACACCTGAACTCCTTGGCCTCTCCTGTGAAAAGGGGACATGGGACAGCAAGCCCACCCAACTGGTAGGACTGGGCATGGATTCAGGGAAGAGCCCATGCAAGTG